CAGTTTGTTCTCTATAATTAATGAGCTCTATTTTACTGTCAAACATTTATTAAGAAGTAGAACAATGCTGAATGGTTCTCCCCCTACACAGTAATATAGTCTCCATATCTGCTATTTGTGCAAACGACATCATATAAAGTAACATTTAAACAATTTTATATGGTTTTTATAGTCTCTATTATAGAATGTCATGCTTTGTGAGATAAGAGAAGAACATGCTTTAGCTTTCTGGCTCATTAATAAAGTGTGGTTGTAATTAACCAAATATTAAAAAATGAGTACTTACAATTCTTTGCATGAAATTTTTGCCAAGTTAAAATGTAAGCTCAGATGTAATTTTCTTTTTTCTTCATTACCTCACTTTGAAGAAACTCAGACATTTTTATGGGTTGTTGATGAAGTATCTCGTAATTGCCTGGTACAGTTCTTTTGGATTGAGAGGATGGGGGAGGATGGAAGGGAGATAGACTAATGTTTTCTAGCTTATGTGCTAGACAGTGTGAGAGGGAACCCCTTTCTTCCCAGCCATCCCAAGAAGATGGCGTCGAGATCCCCATTATAGAGATGAAGATGCTGAGGCTCAATGAAGTTACCTTGTTTCAAGGTTGTGCAGTTTGTAAGAGACCTTGGTCTGTTAGCCTCCAAAGCCTGTGTTCTTTTTGTTACATCTAGGTGCCTCAGGGTCCATGAACCCTGTGAACAAAAAACTAGGCTATGATTTTTGTGTGGAGTGATGTCATTACTCTAGAGCTGGGCTGTCCACCTGTGGCTTTTTACATTTAAATCTAAATAAATTTAAATAAAAGTTAGGATTCAGTTTCTTGGCCACACTACCACATTTCAAGCACTTGATAGTTACACGTGTAACGTTGTATCACGTTGTGATAGTACAGATAGAGCATTTCCATCACGTAAAGTTCTGTTGGACCGTACTGGTCTGGAGGCCGCCTCTGGGAAAGTCCTTACAGGCTCCTCTCCGCTGTCTTAACAGAATCACTAATAAACGTATAAATACTTCGTTGGGACTTTGACTTAACACTCACTCTTAGCGACTCACACCCTCATATCTTTCTGAACTCTGGAATCTACACTGTCAGTCTGGGGCCTCCTGACTGAAAGACAAAGAAGGCTTGCATAATCCACTGGTTGGGGATTGCATCTTAACCATACTAGTTGATATGGAATATTACCTCAAAAACATTTTTTTAAAAATAGGTTAGACCATGAGAAGGGTAATGATTTCTGTTTGTTTGCATGATAAGTTCCAAACTGTTGATCTGCCAGGTACAAATTATTATTTTAAATTCAATTAATATTTACTCAGCAGAGAGTCTTAAATTAGTTTGGGAAGGGACCAAAATGGGGAGAAATTAGTGAAAATTGAAATTCAGGATGTACTTTGGTGAATTTTGAACATATTAACATTAAAATCCTCAGTAAGCTGTCTTCAGGAAAATTTTTTTGACACAGGGAATAGACTTTTTAAAGGACTTTTTGGGGGGATACATAAAAGGAGTTGTAACTTACTGTCTGCATATTTTATTATCATGGCATTTAGAAGTAGTAGGACAAAAGAGGTCATTTTGCACAGTGAGGCAGCGTTGTAAAAGGAAAAAGTACTTTCCTGTGGATCTCTAAAAAAGCTGTGTGACCTTTCTGAGCTTTGTCAATCTCCTTATCCATTTCTCCGTCAATAAATTGGAATAATGCCATCTGCCTTGCTTGTCAGCGACATTGGCGACTTGAGTGAACTCACGGATATGGTAGTGCCTGGGAGACCACCAGTTCTGTGCACATGTTAGCATGGCATCCTTTCCTGGGTCCCCTCTTGTCTGAACCTTTTTTGAAATCGGAGCAACAGAAAGGTATTGCCCGAGGCCTAGCTCTCCCAGCGTGCTGTCTGCTGTTCTGCATCTCTGACTTGGGCTGACAGTGAAGGATCTTGTTCTTAATAAACGGTCAGTAGTGATATGATTGACATGATGAAAAATACTTTGTTTGAGGAGGAGGAATCCTGGTGCCATGAGCTGTCTTTCTTTTATGAACTCGTTCACCCTGAGCCAATATTCCTGGGAGATGAGAGAGTCTTTATCTCATGGAGGAATAAATACCAGTCTCCGTCTTAGCACTTCTTTAGCAGAGAACAGTTGTCTTGATATGTAGTAGACAATACTCTATGTATCAGCTGCTATCTTTATTCATGAAAGGGGAAGTTATCTAACACTTTTACTAGTTGGGTCTAGAAGGACGTTGTGACAAATGTAGACCATTATTGTAGGATTTCATGTTAATCTGCATTTCAGAAAGCAAGTGCGAAGACAAAAGAGTCGTTCAAACAATACCCAAGCAGTATGGAGATGTCGCCCTTAGCTGGGGAAGCAGCAGACTCTTGATTGGTGGTTACTGTCATTCTCAAACGTGTACTTTCTTCAGGTGTGCTGTCACTTACCTGACCTAAGTAAAGGAGGTTCCTTATTCTTTTTGCCTAAAGAAAAATATACATGTATATTAAAAATATGCCACGTAATTAGATTTGTCATCTGTATCACAGTGGTTCATTTTTTTAAAATTTTTTTAAAAATTTTTTTATTGTTATGTTAATCCCCATACATTATATCATTAGTTTTAGATGTAGTGTTCCATGATTAATTGTTTGTGCATAACACCCAGTGCTCCATGCAGAACGTGACAGTGGTTCATTTTTATCATTGCTGGTTTTTAGCCTAGATGCTGATAGCACTGAAATGCATGCTCTTGCTTTCAGTCCTGTGAAGGACCTAGTCTGCTGCCTTGTACACATTGCTTGGTGGTGCAATAACTGGGGTTGGTAGAAATTGGAGGGTGATCTCTTTGTTTTGCTAGGACAATGTGTCCTTCACACACATCCCACATGCTATCTTGGAACTGGCAATTGACTTTGCAGTCGGAATAATGTATAAATAATGGGTTGGTTCCCGGAATGGTCCACCAGACTAAATTAACCCATAAAATGGCTCGGCTGATAGAGAAACATATGTGCTAGGATCTGAAGATGCTCTCAAAAACTGACCTAGAGCTAAATTTTACACAGCTAATAACTTAAGTTGGTAAGCTGGGAACTGCTTACTCGTTTTTTAAATATAAATTCCAAATAACATATCTGCTAAACTTTATTTCTGACTTCTCAGTGTAGGAACGTCCTCCCTTCATAGAAACTTTAACCTGAAAGCTAAAACAAATCAAAATTTAGCAACTGGTGGAAGCTGAGCTAAATTTAATGTCTGCTTTATTTGCCAAAGTTTTGCTAAAAGCACTGTGGCTTTTAGATTTCTTTTGTTTTGATTAAATGCAGTTTTAAAATGGTCTCATTTTATTGATTCACACTGGTTTTCCTTTGTTGTAAGGAGAATTATTTAAAAACTCAGTAAGTTAGTACATGGTTGTGGTAACAAAGGCCTAAGTCTAAGAATTTATTGTGCTACATCGTGCAAAGGTAAATACAGTTCATTGTAAAATACTGTTGGAATATAAAGACTATAAGATAAATATTTCCCATCTGTCAGTCCAAACTCTGTAGTCTTTAAATTACTATTGAAACTGATGCTGGTATCTTGTGTGATCACTGATCCTAGTTGTGTCACGTTTTTGAAATGGTTAAACACAAAAATATGTTTAAAATCTTATTACATCATAGACATTTACCCTCACAGGGTCTTCATTTGAATAAATGTGGATGTTTTCCTATTTTACTCAAGGACTTGAGACATGTCCTTTAGCTTGGTGGCTGTAAACTGTGAAAGTAGTCCCTAAGAGTCTAGTCTTTGGTATGTTTTGAGTGAGGGAGGAGGATTTTTTGTGTAATTTAAAATCTGTGACAGGGTCATTAGGAGGGCATATATCCCTTTTCTTTATTTTTCGTTGAATGGAGGAAACAGAACCTTCTCGTTACTGCAAGCTAAGGAATGCTGCACATGTTGCCTTCCTTTTGGAATCTGTGATTTGTACCCCCATCACACTACTGAGCTGTGTCTTTAGGAGACATGCTGTGTGGCATGTGGGACCAATTATCATCACCATGACTATTTCATTTGATGGGAAAATCTGTAGTAAATCAAGAATATTAAGTCTGTTTGTTAATATTGAAGTCTTTAGAAGCCAGCTGTGCCGAAACTGTTTGTTGCTTATATTTATACAAGTTTGTTAAATGCTAATCCTCTGTCATGGAATGGTCTTATTGTCCATTTTCTGAGCTTGTTACTTACATAGTAAATGGAAGAGTTATTTTTTCTTGAGCTTTTTTTTTAAATTAAAGTTGAACATGTGCCTTTATATAAATAGAGCATTTGAGAAAATAGCATTTATTATTCCTTTGTATGCCTTTTATGGATTTTAGTTTTTCTGTCTCAGATGCAACTAGGCATCTAGTAATTGCATTTTAGCTTGAATCAGCTGGAGTTCATTTTCTAAAAAATTAGCAGCAGTTTGGTGTTCTAGTTAAAGATAGGTGGTTCTTCATTCTCTATTTGTGTGTGATTGCTGTTTCTGCCCATCATGCTGAATCTCTAGCCAGACACAGGTACCTTTTCAATAATAGATTTGTGTAGGTTGTTGGGTCACAGAAACCTTTATGTTAAATTATACCTTTTTGTCCTCTATCTCTCTACTTCTTGCTGAACTTCCCTCATTATTGGAAAAAGACATTCATCGGATAAAAACAAAAGCAGCCAAGCTCTTTGTAAGAAAAGCATTCAGTGACTCAGTAACACAACTTCATGTTAGCTGGATTTAACCTCAGCATGAATATGGGATTCGGGAAAGGATGCTCCAGTACAGTGTATGACTCAGAGATGCATACTGATGATGAGCTCCAGACAGAGGGGTGTCCATCTGAATCTCGAATGTGCCTGCCTTCCCGTGGAACTGAAAATCAAGTGGATCCTTATGCAGCTGTCTTTCCCACCGGAGCTGGGTGACAGTTGCAGTATAGTAGGTACGCTGTTGAGTCATTCCCCTTTTTACTGCTAAATAACAGCTGCTGGATTTCGAGTAAGTGCCTTACATTATTTTATTCGCCCCCTACAGTCTTCTAAGGTAGATATCGTGATGGTCATACACATGAGGAAGCTGCGGTGGCGAGAGGCTAATGTAGCTACTGCGTCTCGGCTGCCAACTCAGGGTCAGGTGCTGCAGCCCCCGGCTTTAGCCACTGTACTGTCCTAGCAGTGGGTACACATCTTTCCTGTTGTAAAACTGCTCCAAAGAAGGGTGTTGCGTCACCTGTCCTAGGAACTGGCCCCAGGTGTAAATAAAAGTATGCAGAATGAAGTTACTCTCTGCAGAGTTGAATGCCACTTCCTTGAGATGTGCTGTGCTTCGTGGAGGTAAGGAAGCAGTGCTCCCACCCTCCCCCCACCACTAGCTCTGAACGATCAATCTTGAGGGGGTATGTGCGACTGAAACAAATGAACCTTGCTGAGTCTGTCAGCATTCCCAGCCCGCCTGTAATTAAGTCGTGGAGATGGCCACCGGTCTTGCTAATGTTTTAGAAGGAAGTGGCTAGGAGATGGTGTCTGAATGTTTGGAAGCCCAGAGGAGGGGCTGTAGTCACACTTGGGGACTTCCTGGGTAAGTCGCACTGGGGCTGAGAGCAGAGGACTTGGAGCTGTATCAGAAACTGGGAGCAAGCGCTGAGAGAGGTGAGCTGAGCAGATGTTGGAAAAGCACCTCAGGGAAGAGCAGGGAGTGACAACTAAGCTGCTTCACAGTCCAACATCTGGAGGTTGGTTTGCACGGGGAGCAGGGATGGCTTGCTGTTGAAATGGTGGGCTTTGTTTCTGTCGTTGAAGGAAATAATTCACAGTGCTACATAAGGGGGGTAAAGCAAGATGAGGCAAGGTTCTCGCTCTCAAGTGAGGGGTGCAGGCTGAGAGCCACCTGACTCAAAGAGTCTGGAACTGGGTGCCCGTGGAGAAGGACTCATTCGTGAAGTAAAAATAATTGAATCAGTTGAGACTCTTTACCCATAAATTACCCTGAAGTCACTGGGTAATTTGTCCCCTGATATTTCTGCCAACTATAATAAAACAATATGCATTTACCACTGCAATTGTAACATGTGATAGACATTTGGGGAAAATGCTTGGTTATAAAGGTAATGTTAGGGTCTTAGGAGGAGGAATTCCTCAGGCAGGGAAGTGTTTCAAAGCTTTGGAGTATGACCTATGTTCAAATCCAGACTTAGACTCCTACTCGTTTTGTTATTTTAGGGAAATTACTCAACTTCTCTAAGTCCACATTTTCTTTTCTAAAATGTTGGACAATAATAACACACAAAGTGCTTTTGTGAGCATGAGAGATGTGCCTGTGAAGCACTTCACACCTTGTTTTGGTCCAGGGTAAATGTTGAGTAAATGTCAGCAGCTGTCCTCTGTCCTCCAACCTCCCCATCAGCTGAGCATGCGGCAGTTGAACCTGGCGCAGAAGCCTAGCCTGGGGGCTGCCCTTAGGGCGTGTTTCAGAAGCCTTTGAGTACTTGCCTATTGATGAGTGCAGAAGATCGGGTGGCTTGGCCTGGAAGCTCATTCTGTTTTCTTTACCAATAGCTTTCATCCTTCTTCCAGAAGTACCGAGGCCAGAAAGTAGACATATCAAAAATAATATCTCCTAACGAGGGCTAGGTTTCTTCTCACAGCTTATGTGAACTTCTGTTCTGTCCAGGATAGAATAGTTGATTTTCTCTTAGATAGGCTTCTTTTATCTTCTGTAAAATGAGGATACATTGTATATTTTTAGTTTTTTAAAGATTTTATTTATTTATTTGACAGAGTGAGTGAGAGAGCACGAGCGGGGGAACAGCAGAGGCAGAGGGAGAAGCAGGCTCCCTGCCAAGCAGGGAGCCCGATGCAGGGCTCAATCCCAGACCCTGAGATCATGACCTGAGCCGAAGGCAGACGCTTAACCATCTGAGCCACGCAGGCGCCCCACATTGTATATTTTTTTATAATGTTCTCTCTCTTTCTTCTAAATTTCTTTTTTTTTTCTTCTACAGAGTCTTTAAGAAGACCTAGATTCTCACATACAGAGGGGTTATTAGGACCCACATTGGAATGGTAACAGAAAAGTTATCATACATGCTTTGAATTTGTACTCTGAAAGCTCCAATTGCCAAAAAGAGCCAATGGGCTTAATGCTTGAACATAGAGATAGTAGTGTATTCAAGTGGGAAGCTAAGAATCTATCGTGACAAAGGGATGGCATTGACACTCTCTTGCAGAGCCTGGTAATGGTCTTACATCCGCATCATATCTTATTCCATATATGTTAAGGAGTCCTAAGTCCCTGCTGATTGGCATGAAAAATTTCCATGGAGAGTCTCTGTATCCACATGCCAAAAAGAGATGTGTTAGCAATTAGCACTTACTAAGACTTTGAAAAAAATTGATTAAATAAGTGGTGTTCCAATAATCGGGAACAGAGCAAGACAAAGCAGTAGAGCTCAGTCGAGAACCTGGCCCCAGCAGCCAAACTGTTTGGGTGGAAGCATGCTCTGCAACCTAGTGGTTGTGCAATCTCAAGCTAGCCATTCCACCTTTGTGTGCCTCAGTTGACTCATTGTAAAATGAGAATATTAGCTACTACCTCCTAGGCTTGTCTTCAAAATTAACCGAGTTCACATTTATAAAGTATGCAGAATAATGCCTGGCATTATATAAATGTTTGTTAAATAATTAAATACTGAAAATTGATTAGTCATGGGTATCTGCTGAGCTGATTGGTATGTTTCTGCAGAAGACCGAATACAAGCCAACATTGGTTAAATCAATTATCTGATAGATTCCATGAATGCATGAAATCTGAGGGCAAATATTTTGAAACTGGATATATTTCATTGATGAAATGAATGTCTTCATTTCAAACTAAGCATGATACTTCAGACCCTTATAATAACATGAAGTCACTTATATTTTTTTTATCCAATTATGAGGCATTCTACCTCTCTGTACACACTTTAATGTCTGAAGATTATACATGTCTTAAAATCAGTGGATCTGTTGAATGTTGTCATCCCTCCCCCAATAAGGCTTTATTTGACTAATGTTGCAATGAAAAAAAAAAAACTTGGTTGTCTTTGAAAAAGGAAGCATGATTCATGGGTCCACAGAAGTGTGCTGAATCTGTACTCTGAGAAGTATAAAATCAGTGTCCGGGAATGAGGTGATGCTTCACCTATCCATTGAAAGCGAGAGCCCCATGTGCGGTGTCCAGAGCCTTCCCCTTGACCCCAGGGAATTGGACTTCAGGGCCACAGGGGCTTCCTTGCATCCCCAAAACACAGGAATTAGTTACCCTTTGGGTCCAGTAGCTGTGTGTCCCATCATCACTGAATTGAATTTGGCATTGGATTTGCATTGACATGAACTTAGAGGTAATTCCTGTAAGAAGCCTCAACCGTTTTAGAATCCAGGAAAAATAACTGTGGCAAGGATTTGTAACCAGGGAGCCTATGAACAGAATCCAAGGTCTCTGCACTTGAATGGGGGGGGGGGCCCTCATTTTCACGAATCCCTAGCTGAAATTTGGCATTTCCTTTGGTTATGAATATAGACACCAAATCAGGTTAGTATTTAACATTTGAAATTGTAACACCCATGAAATATGCCACTAGATCCTGTTATTCAGTGTGTTAATAAGCACAAATACAACTAGATCAGAATTTGTTTTTTGGGGGCGCCTGGGTGGCTCAGTCATTAAGCGTCTGCCTTCAGCTCGGGTCATGATCCCAGGATTCTGGGATCGAGCCCCACATCGGGCTCCCTGCTCAGCAGAGAGCCTGTTTCTCCCACTCCCACTCTCCCTGCTTGTGTTCCCTCTCCCTCTCTCACTGTGTCTCTGTCAAATAAATAAATAAAATCTTTAAAAAAAATAATTTGTTTTTTAACATTTCGATAACTGTATTTCAATATACTTTGTTCCTTTGTAATCCTATGTCTTTTATGCTTTTAAAAACATTATTCTGAGGGCGCCTGGGTGGCTCAGTTGGTTAAGCGACTGCCTTCGGCTCAGGTCATGATCCCAGGGTCCTGGGATCAAGTCCCACATCGGGCTCCCGGCTCAGCAGGAAGCCTGCTTCTCCCTCTCCCACTCCCCCTGCTTGTGTTCCTGCTCTCGCTGTCTCTGTCTCTGTCAAATAAATAAATAAAATCTTCAAAAAAAAAAATTAAAAAAAAAAACAAAAACATTATTCTGAGATGAAGTCAGTAGGCTTCCCCAGATTGCCAGCTGGGGTCCAGAGTACTAAAAGTTAAGAACCCTGTTTTCTGGTCCTTTGCCTCTATGGTCGTTCCAGTTCTCAGCCATTCTTCTGTTTCTTCCCCGCCATGTCCCTTTGCCTGTGCTCTGCACAGCTGAGACGTGGACTTCGAAAGGTTCCGTATCTATTGCGTCGCTGGCATCTTTTCTATATTTTTGACTCTGGCAACGGAAATTTTTCGGCTGTATTATCTGTGATTTATACATCTTAGAGGAGGAGACTCTCTTTAGCTTTTCTGCCTCTCCAGTACAATGCTGTCTACATAGACTTCCAGTGAAAGGTGTTGATCCAGTGATTGTTTATTGGAGAGTTGGCTGCTGTGAAAGCAAGACACAGAGAGCAGAGGACTTGTAGCCCTGGGAGTGGGGAGGAGATGGGGGAGAGGGTGTGCTTATGCAAAATGGTAATATGAGGTCCTGAGGGGAGAGCCGGTAGAGGCTGTGAAATGAGTTGGGGAAATAGTACATCGGGTGGAATAATAAGGAGATGGAGAAGTAATTAAATTGAGGCTTTCCAGTCTCCTTCTGATGGAAGCTTCTCCTTATCAAAATCTACTTTTGCTCCTGAGAACTGTTCCTATGTAGTTAAGGATGGATTCTTTACCCGTGTCTTCAATTACTTGAATTCACTATGGAGCTTTCATGACTCAGGGCTTTCTGTGAAGGCTCCCTTACCTCCCAGATAACTCCCTTATTTTAGTTCAGGTTGTTGCCAGAATGTTATGATGTGGTGTGTCCACATTTTATATTGAATAGAGGGAAGTAGGCAGACTCTGGGCTTGTAGGAAATATTGCCTATCTTTGAGGATTTGGAGGTGTTAGGCAAAGGGTAAAAACCAGTGCAAGAGAAAATATTTTTAGGTAAAATATCCAGTAACAGAATGTTTCGTCTTTGTTAAGCCACAAGGGAAATATTACAGGGAAAGTGGATGCAGAAAAGAATTTAAAGTGATAAGCATACACTGCTATATCTGTATATAGCTATGCTGAAATACTAGGTCTAGGGAATTTAAAAAATTATTTATTCTGGTAATAGGAGAACCTGGGTTTGGATTGCCTTGAGACCCCCAAAACATGTTTTACTTACCACTTAGGAAAGACAGTTTTAATGAATGGCTGGATTTATGTGGATTATAGTCTCTAAAAAACCAACAACTTACTGCTTACATGTGTATGTTTCTAATGAAAACACAATTCAGATTGAGGGTAATCTGAATTAGGGACAAGATAGTGTGTGTGTGTATATATATATATATAACCTTCAAATACTTTTAATAACTAGATCTAATATAACAAACTCTTGTATGTTACTAAGGATTCTGCTTTAATAAATAAATAGTATATCTTAGTCACATGCCATTGTAGGTAGATGTGTTTATAAAACGCTTTGGGGCTTTTAAGAAAGTCTCTTAAATATTTGGAAAATCATTTTTATTTGCATTATTGGTTTCCCTATTGTATCCTTTCTTTAGAGAATATGTTAAAATTTTGGATAATGTTAAACTTAGCTAAATTATCACAAAGCCTTAACCATAAATCCATAACAAAAATCAGATGGGATGAAGGAATACGTAAGCCTGTTGAGAACATTGTTTTGTCAAATATTCTTTCTGTATCAAAGTTTTTTGTCACACGGACAATAAAACAACTTAGGAGGTGCTGTAATTCCTCCCTTTTATTTGGGACTCCCGAAGTCAGGGTGACCAAGAAGCAGGGGTGATCAGGTTTTACCAGTTTATTAAGGAAAGCCCGGGCTAACCCTTTATAGGATGAGCTCTCGGGACCTCTGTAGCCTTGAGCTGGAGATTTTGATACTCCTTCCCATGCTAGCCTTAAAAAAAAGCCTTATTTCACAAAGTCTGGCAAAGCATTTAAAGTCCAGCCACTTCCCAAAGCTGAATCCATGTATAAAGTCACCTTGGGTTTCTGCTACCAAGACTGGTCTATGTTATAGGTATTTGATAAGCTGTGCCCCATTGTGATTTTGTATGTTAGATCTTTGGGTTTGCTCTGTGGGCTTCTGGCTGTGGGAGGCACATTTTATCCTATTAGAATGTTATAACTTCTAGTCTATTTCTCTCATTTTCTATATTGGAAATAAACATTCGTGCACATTCTAACAAAGTATGCAGTTTAAGAGAAGTTAGATGGCATGGAATAATTATCATAAATTAATTTTTACATATTTGATCTCGTAGCCTCCCTGCACCATTTTTTTTTTTTTCTTCCAGTTAACAAGTTCTGTGACTTGTTTAAGTTGTGATCTGGACTTCTGATTTTAGAGGAGAAGTCAGATAAGTATAAGCATTTCCATGCAAATCATGTTTCTAAAATCATCCCTAGAGTGTGTGTATGCCTAGTGGAATGCAAAGCTTACTAGAGAAAGGATGGAATTAGGTGAGCCTGAAGGAAGTATAAAAATCCTGTTTAATGACCCTCTTAGGTTTTTATATAGATGAATTTTATTAAATGAGGAATGGTAAGCCCGTCTGGAATATCTCATCCCCTGAATAGTCAGTTTTGGCACTATAAACTGGGAAGACTTCTATTGTGTCTCCGCATAGATAGCATTGCGTTATTGCAAGCCCCAAGGCCCTTTTCCTGAACAACATATGCTTGTGTGTGGCTCTGTTTTATGTGAGCCAAACCAATCTTAGGTCTCGTATGGGAGTTTATTAGTGCGTGTGTGTGTGTGTTGTTTAAGAGAGATTTTAGGGCCTGGAGTAATGAGACATGGCCAGTTAAAGCCATGTGTTGCTTAAGGATGTGGTTCAGTGATCACAGCCTAACTCCAAATACTTAAGTTTATCAAATGCCCTCATTACAGACCTTGAGTAGTCCAATGTCTTCGATGCACCCTTGCCGTGCCTTTCTGCAGGGCTTTACTGCTGCGTGTTCCCTCCTCTCTCTGGTGCTGCTACCTTTATCCCTTCTCATGGTGCGCAGTCCCGACCCTGGTACCTTCTGCTTCCCTCCTTTTCTCCATGTAAATCTTGTTCCATCATATAGGGAGCTGCCCTTACAGAGGCGCAAGAGAAGTTCTGAGTTTATAGCTTATAAAGCGTACCACTTTAAAAAGTTTTAACAAGCAAGAGGTGTTTCATAACCCAGTAGGAAAAAGATCTCTAACGATGAAATCCAGGCCTATGGAAAAGGGATGGGAACCTTATTGTCACACCTTTGTGCTCTCCCTGTCCTGCTAGGTTCCTTCATGTTTTCAGGCATCCCAAGGAGAGCGAGCCTATTGCAACATGCTTCAGAGGTATGGCGTGTTGGTGTAGGATGTGATTACGGGATACCTCTGATAGAAGGTAAACAAAACCACCAGTGTATTTTCTCAGCCATGTCAGAAATCTGCGTAAAATGAGCATTAGATGATTAGTTTTGGTGACGGGATGCTGCCCTGGCTACTTGCTGACCTGGCATCCTGGAGAGACCCTGGTCCTCCTAGACCTGACTCAGGCTGCAGCTTTGAGCTGGGGGCCTGGTACCATCCTCATGGGCAAATGTAGGAAATGCCAAATGGCCTGGCAAGTTCTACTCTGGCCTTTCGATCCTCGCTGAGCCATATGGTGCTAAAATGTCAAACTGTTCCTGAGTGGGCCATGATTGAAGAGCTAGATAGAGAAAACACACTTTAGATAATGGATCCACTGAGGCTTTTAGTCCCCAGCTACTGGCTTTTTCTTACTTTAACCAACATTTATTAGGTAGTGTTTGGTTGATAGTGGGCTACTTACGTTGTGGGAGATACCAAAATATGCAATAAAATAATCAGATGTTTCTTACTGGCAAAGGTTGTATCTCCCATGGTTCATGTAAATTGCACTTAATAAACTGTCAGTAGAGGGAGGTGAAATGTATGAGTGATTTACACATAGAATTTAATGGGAGGAAACTATCTTAGAAACTGAGGAAAGATGAAGAAACTAAGTCCCCCCAAAGATTGTAACATCCTTAGGTTGTGTTTGCAGAGATCTTACTAGAAACTATGCCTTATCCCCTTTTCCACTGCAGCTTCTTGGTGCTGTATTCTGGCAATTGCCCTTGTTGATGGATTGACATAATGCCTTGAGATGTTTACAATCGGTGTAGGAAGAGAAAACACAATAGGGACTTACAGATGATCCCAATCAAAACATGTACAGGTGCTAAGTGATTGAGGCCAAAGGGAATGTGGAAGTCCAGAGGGAGAGAGGAGGAGATGAGTGATGTGGTTCAGGTGAGGTTAGTCCTGGCAGGCTTCCAAGAGATGGCTGGGCTTGGGTTTGGCCCGTGTAGCTCTCCTCAGTCCCAGTCGCTGGGCCTTTACGGAAACACGATTTTCTCATAGCACAGGATATCTGACTGGTTGGAAAGAAGAGATGTTTGTACTCAGAGAGTTTTTGCCCCTGATAGTTTACGGGGTCTCAATCTTTTAGATGTGTCGCCAGATGCACAGAATGGAACAATATATCACATTCAGTTTAGACCTAATGAAAAAGACAAGTCATTTCATGTACTGGATAGAGGTGCTATAGACTTTTTGACTCTAATGAATCTTTACTGTCTCTTCAATTTGAATAACTCCTTCCTGGGATGCCTGGGTGGCTCAGTCTGTTAAGCATCTGCCTTCGACTCGGATCATGATCCCAGGGTCCTATGAGTGAGTCCTGAGTCTGGCTCCTATCTCAGCTGGTAGCCTGCTTCACCCACTGCCTGCCTCTCCCCCTGTTTGTGCGCGCACTTTCTCTCTGACAAATAAATAAAATCTTAAAAAAAAAACCCAAAAAACTCCTTCCTGTCTTGATTTATAAATTTTCAAAAAAATTGCTTTGATTTTACTTATCCATACTTGACCATATGTAAGCTCCGCTATTTGAATCGCTCTAAACAGCCGTGTTCTCCTGGCAGTGTTGTGACATTTCTGGGATTGGGTGCTCAGGAGTAAGCCTCTTTCTGTTGCCACTGGCTGTGGATGCTTCTTCTGTGCCTGGGATTTAGCCCAAAGCTTTGCAGTCCCAGGGGGAAGTACTTTTTTTTTTTTTTTTTTTTAAAGGGAGGGAGGGAGGAGGGGCAGAGGGAGAGAGAGAATCCCAAGCAGGCTCCATGCCTAGCATGAAGCCTGATGCTGGGTTCGATCTCACAACCCATGAGATCATGACCTGAGCCGAAATCAAGAGTCAGATGCTTAACCAACTGAGCCACCTGGGCGCCCTGGGAATTGCTTTGAGTGGCCCCAAGGAGGTGTCCTTTTTCTTTCTTTAAAACTTTATTTTGAACTAATTTTAGAATTACAGAAAGTTTTCAAAAATTGTACAGAATCTCCCCCCATCTCTCATTCATTCCACTTTCCCAAATGTTAACATCTTATAGAACCCCTGCTTATCTGCCCTCAGAGAAAGCCTTACCTTTGTCCACAGGAAGAGCTGTGTAAGAATTTGCTTGGTTGTGTGGTGCATAATGCAAAGTAAATAATAACAAGCAAATAGATAAATACCCTGTGTAATTTTTATGTGAGGGAATGTTATGTAATAGTAGAAATAAACGTCAAATGCACCATGTTGAGGAAGTAAAACGAAGTTGAGGAAGGGTGTATACACTCGGGGTGAGAGCATTCAGCGCAGTACTAGATGCTGTATGTGCATGTGCAATAACAGTGTAAACACTGGCACGTACGTGCGAACGATCACTCAGAAAATTCAGGCTCCTGGCTGCTTCTCTGAGTGGTCAGGACTGTGTGTGAGCTGTCTGTTGTACTTGGGACATTTAATTTTTTAAACTGAATGGTAGGCACTCAGTGGCTCACTGTATCATTTTCTAAACTTCTTCAATGACTAAAGTGTTGAACTTAACACTTAGAAAATAAGGATCATGCCGGGCGCCTGGGTGGCTCAGTTGGTTAAGCGACTGCCTTCGGCTCAGGTCATGATCCTGGAGTCCCGGGATCGAGTCCCGCATTGGGCTCCCTGCTCGGCAGGGGGTCTGCTTCTCCCTCTGACCCTCCCCCTCTCATGCTCTATCTCATTCTCTCTCTCAAATAAATAAATAAAATCTTTAAAAAAAAAAAAATCTTAAAAAAAAAAAAAAGAAAAGAAGGATCATGCCAAAGCCCTGCCAGGCCCTTCACTGGAGATACACTAGTGATTCGTTTTCCTGGCCAGGTAGTGCACCTTCAGAGTTGAAAGGTAAAGGAGGGAGGCAGCAGTTGACTAGTTGGCTCTTCTCCGTGGGTGAGACCTTCCCCATGCCTCGTTTTCTGTGTCACATTTTCTCTACTTAGTTTCCATGATTGCCTTTACAAGCTTCATACAACGTACAGAAAGGAAAACAAAGAGCCTCAAGCTTTTCAGTATGAGGACACTAGACACAGGTAAGCAGGGTTGGCTGCAGTTCTGTCCTCTGCCAGGGCCGGGGTCCTGGCAGCCCATTTACTAGCCATGTGGCCTTGTGGGACTTATTTAATCTCCTGTGCTGCAGTTCGGTCATCTGCACGAGGGGCGTAAGAATAGTACCTGCCTGTGGGGTTGTTTGCAGGACTAAGTGAGTTATGCATGCAGAGCCTGTTCTCTTCTCTACATTCTGGCTCACAGACCCCTTTTATTTGATTTCCATAGGCTCAGATGACTAGAAGTCTTAAATTTGAATTAGTTACCTGTACTTAAGAATTGGGTGAGGGTTACATTTAAAAGCATGTATTACTGGCTTCTCTTGAAGAAGCAGAAAATACAGTGACCCTGGTCCTCCATTGGCAACACTGCTGTCCCCTCTCGGTAGAAATGTACCCACTGGAATGTAGTTCCTAGCACCCCCTTATGTCTCCTGGACACTGAGGCAACCCGGTCAGGGCCCTCTGTTGTCTCACAGCCACTCTGCCCAGTGATGTCACCTGCCCAGCCCCCATTGGCATTTGCATTTGCCACCTTCATTTTAAAAGGTCTGTAGTGATGCACATAGGGAACTGGATTATGTATCAGTAATTGGGGCTCTCCAGAGAAACAGAACTGGTAGGAGATTTTATATATATATATTCTATTCATATTATATCCCATATATATATATATATATATAAAGGAAACCTTTGGGCAGCAGTTGATGGCACAATCTGGAGGCAGAATTTCTTCTTCAGGGAAACCTCTGTGTTTGCTTTGAAGGCCTTTCAACTGATTGGATGAGGCCCTCCCCACATTAGCAAGAATGATTTGTCTTAACCTAAAGTCACCCGCTTGTTAGATGCTAACCACACCTACAATACTCCTTCATAGCAGTATCTAGGGTAGTGTTTGGTGGAATAACTGGGTACTAGATCCTAGCCATGCTGACAGAGGAAACTGACCATCACAGATTGTATCTTGTAGAGTCTATAGACTTTTTTCTGTCCTTAATAGTAGAGGATTGTGGTGGCATTTAGGATTTTTGAAGGAGGTGAATATAGAAAACTCGGAGAACCTCTGAGCTTTGCAAATAAAGCTGCTGTATCTGAGCTGGGATCTGTGATGCCGTACCTTGGTGATTGATGATGCAGGTGCTTCCACGCGGGGTGGGGGGTGCCAGGGAAGCTGGTTTATTCGTTCTGGCGAGGCCATTCAGGGTTGGGAGTAGTCATGAGGAGACTCTTAGGGGAGTTTGGAGGAAGACAGGGCATTTAGGAAGGACTAGATTTCTTCACCAGCTGTAGAGCCTCCTGCAAACCAGGCATATAAGCATGTGCTCTTCCTGCTCAAGGTCAGGTATTAATACAGGTTCTGAATACATATCCCTACCATTTGCCTCACGTGGCTTTGTGCCTTGGGAGGATGCCAACAGGACTTAAAAGGAATTCTCCCAAAACCTTCTTTGTTTCTCCGAGATTTGTGCAGAGCTGCTGTAGAGAGACTGAAAGGCAAGACAAAAACAATCCTTCCATGTGTGTTTGTCTCTGCCTTGTTTTGTTTTGTTTTATAATGCATCAGGTAAGATGATTTTGAGCTTAGTTTTTTATTTTTGTTGGTGGGGGAGTAGGGACATTGAATAAAACCTCAGTATTCCATTTCTACATGTTTTTTCAGAACTCACAACTTAAAATACTTAATATTTGTGTTTTATTTCTATGAAAAAATAAACTGACTAGAAAATCCGAAATTAATCTTTATTTATTTATTTGAGAAAGTGCACCAGCAGTGGGGAGGGGCAGAGGCAGAGGGAGAGGGAGAAGCAGGCTCCCCGCTGAGCAGGGAGCCCAACCCCAGGCTCCATCCCAGGACCCTGGGATCATGACCTGAGCTAAAGCCAGACACTTAACTGACTGAGCCACCCAGGTGCCCCAATCTGAAATTAATCTTAAGGAAGGACACAAAACCCCAGAAATGCACCCTCAGAATTTCATCTCAAAAGGTATGTTCTCTATGGAACATACTGCAACACTGTAGAGCAAACATGTAGGAGCCGGGTCCATGGGCTCTGGCGTGGTCTGCACATTGCTGCATCAGAGTGGGCGACAGTGTCCAGTGAGGGAGGTGGGGGGGGGTGGCACCAATGTGTCTACATTTCAGAGTTTCTTGTACTAGAGGAGAGTACAGAGCCTTGTATTGGTTGGTTATTCTAACTGACCTTCTCCTTTTATCCTTCATTGGAACCATGCGTGTTAGCCCTTGATTTTTCTTTAGAGAATTCCAGCTATGTTAGTGTTTATTCTTGGATTCCATCACAGCTTTTGAGAGGGAAGAGCAGTGAATTTGGACTTGGGGGCTGTGGTGTCCAATCTTGGCTTAGTTGGTGCTTTAGCTTCAGAGCCTGAAGGCAAGTCACTTGGGCCTGTTTTCCCCCATCTTAACCACAAGGTGCTTGAGTAGGATGGTAACTAAAATTGTAGGGATACAATATTTTACTTTGTCTCTAAACTGTGTCTTAGCAAAACTTGTAGCTTGGTTGGGGCCTCTCATGGTCCCTTTATGCCTCTGCTCTTTCCCCAGCTAACATCCTCTCTCGATTCAGTGCTGCCCATGGCCTATCACATCAGTCACTCTTGTCAGTATCTCGGCTGTCTTGCTCTCTTCGCTCCCCAGGCTCCGCCATCTCTTTGTTCCTCAGTCAGGGACCTCACTGTCCTTTCACTACATCTTTATTGGTCCTCTTAGTTGTGTGGCCTTGATTTTATTAATATATTTTTCAGGGAAACTTTGAATTATCACTGTTAGTACGTAAAACACTATTTTGTCACACCTGGCTACCAAAAGTACTGGCCTACTGCTGAATTCCTTAATGTGATACTTTTCCCAGCTCCCTCTCAGTTTTGGTTAAATAAGAGAAATTCCATTCTCAAACATTCTAAGGGTAGACTTAGATATTGCTCTTTTCCTATGCTCTTTCTTTTCCACAGATTGTTCTTTATATTTCAAAAATGGTAGTCTTGATGAAACCTCTCTGCAAAGAACCAGTGGGAGTGCCTGCCATTGGGATTACTGGTTCTTGGAACCAGAAACCTTTTTTTTTTTTTTTTTTTTTTTGTGGCAGCCTGCCTTGCTTTGGGGATTAATAATGTTTTTGTTCAAAGGGATCACTCCTTTTGGGGTGTAATTTTGTGCTTCCTACTTAACAGGTAGGAGGTAGCTTCTTTTGCCATTTGAGAGGTCACCAGAGTGTGTGCCATGACTGATTGTTTCCCAAATCCCAGAGGCCCTGGTTTGGGATGTGCAGAGTGGCCCTTGCAGGAGCTGCTGCTGGCACCACCAGAGCAGGCAGCTGTGGTGGAGTTGGGTAGGGACACGGGTGCTGTGGTGTCTCCTCTCAGAATCCGGGCATGTGATGAGCTTTTCTAATCTGTTTGAAGTCAGGAACCAGTCAGGTCCTCTTCTGGTACAGTATTCTGCCATTTGCTCTCTCTCTTTAAAGATTTTATTTATTGATTTATTTGAGAGCGAGTGAGTGAAAGAGTGAGAGCAGGGGGAGAGAGAGAGAGGGAGAGAATCTCAAGCAGACTTCGTGCTGAGCACGGAGCCTGCCACAGGGTTCAGTCCCAGGACCCTGAGATCATGACCTGAGCCGAAACCAGGAGTCACTTGCTCAACGGCTGAGCCACCCCAGGTGTTCCCATATTCTGCCATTCTGGTGTTCTGACTCGGTTTCCACATGTGTTCCCCGAATATGTAAATTGTAAAACTCTTCGACAAATGCTTTCTTGGTCATTCTACTTCAGCTCTACTAAACAGGCAGTAGCCCTTGCTCTATATTCAATGTCAAGAGTAAGGGCAATAATTGTCCTCCTGTGTTTCTGAACCAGTGAGAACATAACATGTTCCTTTCTGGACCAAAGATTTTTTAGGAGGATGTTGACAAACTGGAGCAGATCCAGAAGTGGGCAAGTTTTAGAAACCATGTCTTATGGAGGGTGATTGTAGGGAGGGAATGATTTAGTCTAGAGGTAGTTGATGATAATGGCTAACAATTTACTGAATGTTGATTGTGTGCCAGACCCCATGCAGAGTATTTTTACATGTGTGATTCCATATAATGCACACCTAAAAAGTCTGGGAGGCAGGTCTTTTTCTTAGTCCCATTTTGCAAATGAAAGAACTGAAGTACAAAGGAGGGTCACTTGGGTCAAGGTCAACCACCTAGTACATGGGGGACTGCTGTGGGACCCCCAGTGTCCAGGGCCTATACTTGTCACCTCTGCTTTTGAGGACATTTGTCACAGAAGAGATTAGCCCATGAAGAGGGGTTAGGCCAAACCTGTATAAGACATTATCTGATTTGTTTTATTGCATTGCAGAGACCAGAGATTATAAGATACATCATTATTTTGTTCACCACTAAGAAAAATTGCTGCCAATTAATATGATGACACAATTAATGGCAAGGCTCCTTCTGATTTTATAGTTGTTACAACGTGAAGAAAGCGTGTCTTAGATGGAAAAATGTCCTGTGTTCTTCTAGATTGGGGACGGAAGGACCAAGCTGTAGGAAGACTTTAGTTTAAGGAAATGGTTCCTACCCTCTCAAAGCCGCTGAGAAATGTAACCTCCTATGTCAGAGAGCTTGACACATAGCAGCAGCTCAGTGTAAAGTTGCCCATCATGTAAGCACTGAGACTGGCCAGAGGATTTTCCCTGGATGATGTAAAGGGATTTATGCAGTTGGGTAGAAGGTGAAATAAATGATCTTGTAGGACCCTTTCAAATCCTGACTTTTTTTTTTTGTATTTGACAGAGCACAAGCAGAGGGAGAGAGAGGGAGAAGCAGGCTCCCTGCTGAGCAAGAAGCCGGATGTGGGACTCGATCCCAGCACCCTGGGATCATGTTCCGGGCCGAAGGCAGCCACCTAACCGACTGAGCCACCCAGGCATCCCCAAATCCTGACATTTTTTATGTAATATAAATATAAGGGGTACCACATAACAGTCACAAAAAATAGAAAATGTGCTTAGCAATTCTCTGTGCCAGTCATCCATAGCAGTATGTGACCCACCCTTCTTTCCTCCTTTTCTTTCTTTCTTTCTTTTTTTTGGTCCTTCAGAAGCATAGCTGGTAATATTCTATTTTACTTTTTCTCTCTGGTAGAGTCCAGATTTTCTGGCTCAGAATTGGAGGCATGCTACATTTGCTCCCACCCCATCTTCCCTACTGTTTTGTTTCCCCTCCAGATCTTACAGCTGAATCCCATTGTGTTTCCCCTTTGAAAAGGAATTACAAGCTATTATAAATGAAAACTCAGCACAGTGTCCACATACACACTAGCCTTCTGGGAAATGTCGGTGCTCTCTGTCTTCTCATTTCTCAAATTACCCATTCATCTCTGCTTTTCAAAATGCTATTCTTCCTTCAAGACCCCATTTAAATTGGATCTCCAAAAAGCCTTGCATGACCACATAAACTAGTGATAATTTGCCTCTTCTTGAATCCTAGAGTATTTTGTTTATGTCATTCTGATGGCATTGACAACATTTGACCTTGAACTCTAATTATTTCTATCTGCTCTTTTGTCCTCCACCTGATTACAAGCTCTGAGGGCAGAGACAAATCTTTGCCACATAATCCTCCCACAGAGGGTTTGACATACAGCAGGTGCTACATACATACATATGCGAGTAAGTGAATGAATTACTGAATTTTGTAGCAGGCTTATCTTTTCATATATGTCTGGATTAAGCTAATAAAAATTATTCTCTGTTCCCTGAGTGCATTGTACTCGTATGTGGGTGTGGGAATTTTGGCATGATTTTAGACCGAGTGATTTACAAGCCATCCCTAGGACTGCAGATGAGAAATGAACCACAGAAAGAAAAATCTACAAGCAGATAATGGCTTTTTGTGTGTTGCTAGTTCTTCAGTAGTCTCTATACTTTAAGAAATTTTTAAACACTCTGAGTGGGGGCGCCTGGGTGGCTCAGTCGTTAAGCGCCTGCCTTCGGCTCAGGTCATGATCCCAGGGTCCTGGGATCAAGCCCCGCATCGGGCTCCCTGCTCGGCGGGAAGCCGGCTTCTCCTTCTCCCACTCTCCCTGCTTGTGTTCCTTCTCTCACTGTGTCTCTCTATGTCAAATAAATAAATAAAATCTTAAAAAAAAAAAAAAAAAAAACCAACACTTAGAGTGGACCTAAAATGAAACAAGTTTTTTTTTTCCCCCCCTCTCAGTGTCTTTGAAATTTTGCGAGCTATTGATTTGGGTTCTAAACCACAGTGAGGTAAAAAGTTATGAGAGTATGTTTAATTTATAGTGACATCTTTGTAAATTGGCCAGAGAATTCTCCTTTCAACCTGTGGCAGTGGTCTATTACAGGAGAGAGAAATCTGATTAATTCTTGTTTGTTGCTTAACACTTGGTCTTCTCCTTTTGGCTGAAGATTTAGATAATTATTTGGGAGCAAGTGGCCTGGGATTAGGATGAATGTGGAGGGGAATTGATGAGGATGGTGGGATGGTGGGTGTTTCTTATTATTTTCTATACCCGTTAGCCTTGTCAGATATTCCTGGGAAAGCAACAAAATTAAATTTTTCATCATTATATTTTGGGGGTAATTGGGAGTGGTTTAATTTTTTGGTGGGAGGAATGTTTAGAATCGTATGTAACCCTTGGAAAAGAGTTAGAAAAAGCTGTTGGGTCTATTTTATTTATTTTTAAGATTTTAATGGTTGAATTTCTAGTTTTAAATGTTCTGTTATTCCTTGTGTAATAGTCCACATGCAGCTTAACCAAGACAGCAAGCTGCCAGTTGAGTGGATGTAGTACTGAAGGTTTGGATTGATGGCTTTCTGTTGATTGAAGGAGATAAATTATATAGCTAATAAGAGCTTACATTAGGGAATAAAATTTAATAAATAAGTTTGGCTGTAATTGGCTATTAGAATAAGTTTAATGTGTCCTGTGTAATTTTTCCATTCAGAAAATAATTTTTTTCTCAGGTACGTATTATATATATGGTACTGTTCAGGGAAGGAGAGGGAGAGAGAGATATTAAGATTTTAATGCCGTAGTTTTGACAAAAGCATAAAGAAGGAGAGAAAGGTAAAGCTTAAATAGATACTAAAAAGCCATTTACTTTCATGGTTTTAGCTATTTTTAAACGATTAAAGTTTACTCCATCTTTATCAATAAGCTTGGATCATATTTACTTGAAAAATATACTGACTTTTAATTTAGCAGAGTAACAGAATCAATTTAAAGGGCCCCCTCAGAATAGTTATGTCTTAGTCAAAAGCAAATTATGTCTTAAAGCAAAATTGATTGACCAAGGATTTAGAAAGAGTAAATTATACAGAAAGGACTTTATTGATTAAGTAAAGATTGGATTTGTATTTAAAATTTATTTGCATGATATTTTTTAAGGGTGAAATAAATTTTACAGCAATCGAGGATGAATACTGATAAAGAAAATTACTGAAGTAAAGGGTTTTTTGTTTTGTTTTGTTTTTTTATCATGACATATTACTGCCACTCTGAGAAATGGAGTTTGCCTCATTGAATCAAAGGCCAGGCATTTTCTTATTAAATATGATAGCACACGTGAAGGTTTTTTGAAACCTACCTTGATATACTTATTATTTTAAAATCTGGGTTTTTTGGTCATAGATATATTTTCTACTGTAACTTTTAAAAGTTATTTTGAAATATTAGTACAAACACTCGTACAGTTTATCGGGTCAGTTTCTGCGATTTATTGGTTCAGTCTGCCTTGTCTTCAGAAGAGATTTCTTTAGGCATTTAGGAATTCTGTGGTTTTCCATGGTGGATTTACCCCTCTCTCAAGCTGTTGGTGTCACTGCAAGCTTTCTGTGCCTGAGGGAGGAGGAATGTTGTTATTGTAGTAAGGGCTCAACCCATTCTATTAATATCCTTTTTCTTGAGACTAAATTGTAAAGGGTATGGGATTTTGTCTAATTAAAATTAAAATGGTTCTGAATCATTGTAATGGAGTGAAGAATTCCAAGTAATATGAGTTGTATGAATAATGCATTCATATTTTTCTAAATGTCAAGTTGACATTATTCAGAATAGGGTGTTTTTGTTTGTTTTTTGTTTTTTACCTTTGAAAGCCAAATCCTAGCCTCCCCTATGGTACAAGTTTCAACAAATAAAAACCTGACAACATGTGATATATTCTGATATTTTCTTTTCCATTCTGTTCCATTCCATTGCACTCCACTCCATTCCATTAAAAAAATTGATTTCTTAAGCCATTTTAGGAACCATTAATGAGACCTAACTCACAGTTTGAGAAACTCCAATCCAAAGTGATAAACACCTGACTGTATATGATGATTCACCAAAGAAAGCAGTCTTTGTCCTTTATAAGCACACATCCATTTATTTTTTTTAAAGATTTACTTTTTTGAGAGAGAGAGAGAGCATGCACAAGCATGGGGCCTAGGGGGGAGGTGAGAGAGAGAGAATCTCAAGCAGACTCCACACTGAGCATGGAGCCTGACTCAGGGCTTGATCTCACGACCCTGAGATCACGACCAGACCCGAATCCAAGAGTTGGCCGCCTAACTGACTGTGCCGCCCAGGTGCCCCCAAGCAGCCTTTTAAACCATATTCTTTTTCATTGAGGCAAGGAGGTGCAGAATTGAAAGATCTAATTATAAAATTAAATAAGAAAGCATGGTTTATGTACTTGAGGAAGTTTAAGAAGGCTCATGCCAAGAACAAGATAAATTCTGCCTCAGCCAGCCCTGGATTCCCTTTTTGTTTTGGTCTAGCTAAAAAGAACTCTACCTGGACATACCTCTGCCTTTCAGAGACTCAGTGACCCCGGCAGGTACACACATGATCACCTCACCCTCGCCTGGCACCTCCCCTCCCTCCAGCTCCTGAAAGGGGAGTTAGGACCTGTAGCCCCATTCTGGGAATTAGGTTGGATGAAGAGCTGGAAGTCTCAGAAAGTAGATAATTCTGGAGTTTAGGGGTGTGTGGTGATTCTGGAATTTGGGATTCTAAATTCTAAGGTACCTGAATCCTAAATGGATTCATCCATTTCACTTAACGTTGTCAGTGGGAGTGAAACCCGGGACCTCTGACCGTCAGGACTGGTTAATGTGGGCCTCCTGCTTATTGAATTCTGCAAGGACAGTGGGTCTGTAAAGCCAGGGGCCAAGTGCCTCAGGGGAAGCCTAAACCAGGAGTCAGTTTCCCTAAGGCCAGAGAATATTCTGCTCATCTTTCACTAACCATTCTCTGTTCTTTGTGTATTCCATGCTACCTCCTACTTGTTAACCAAGGACATTGAATGTAGGTGAAATAGCAAGACTGAAGTCCTTTAAAAAATTTTTTTTTCCTTTAAAGCATTAATCCGCATGCCTTGCTGTGTGTATGCATGCCTGTGGTCTGTAGCTTCCCCCTTTAAGGTCCTTTTAGGGGAGGGATGCCATCAATCTTTGTGCTGTTTCTAGATACCATCTCCGTGTGAATGTTTGTTGATTCTATTTTTAACATTGCATCCTTTGTAGGAGCTGCCACCAGGCTGGGATGACCACATGTCCTGTTTTCCCCCCAGTTTTTTCCTGGTTAAGTTCCATTCTTTTGTTCGTGATAGCTAGAAATCCTTTTGGGATGGCAATCTGTTCTTTAACTGTGTTGAACCAAATTTCAAGTAACACTGTGCCTTTGAAACTGTGTGGCTTAAACCTCCTCAGGAATCCCTGTAGTTAAGACAAAACAACCACAGAGAAAATGACCTCGGGTTCTGAAGTAGGGGGCCAATTTACATGGGGTTAAGGGATCCTATCAAAGTGAAACTCCTAAACTAAACACCATGACAGTCCACTGTTTTCCTAATAGTCTGAGGAATTGCCAACCTGTGGTCCCACAACCCTTTCATCTTTGCCTTCGATCCAGATATTATTAAGTGCTTCTGAAATGAGAGTTTTACAGCTTTCAGACCCACAGATGATAAGCATATGAAGGCCCCTTGTGTCTGAGTTAGTCTTCTGCCTCGCAGCAGAACATTGGCTTTCTTTCCAGGGATGGAATTTAAAAGCATCTCCTCCATCCCCCATACCAGGGTATCAGTTCGAAACCATGCAGTTTGTTATGACCGTACTTAGGTTTTTTTCCCTTTCTCTTCTCTTGGGTCACTTGGGTCATGTCTTTCTCTCCTATCACATCTCTGATTGCGTCCCCTGTGACATACGATTTTTTTTGTCTTCCTCATTAGCTAGCATGGTACTTGGTTCATTATGAGCACCTGATAAATGTTCGTAACAAAAAATAAGTGAATGAATAAATAATGCATATATCATATTTTAACTGTTTCTTGAATTACACCAGGCATGCATTCATTCTGTCATTTATTCATTCAGTCAAAAAACATTTATTGAGAGGCACTGTATCAGGGACTGGGACTATAGAGAGGTAAAGACAGTTATTACCGTCAAAAAGCCCAAGGTTTATCAGATGTAAAGGTTCTTGGATTCTTCTTTGTCTTGTGAAAACTGTGGACAATTAAGTACCTCATGAGGTGAATGACTCACCCTGATGTTTGTCCATTAAATTGGCATCCCTGTATCCTACAAGAGTTGTTTGCTTCCCCAGGTAGACAGGAGATCGCATTACTGCATATACTTGATGCTCTGGTCATTGTAGACTCATCGATCAATCATGGGTCCAGCACATTTGAAAACAATCTCAGGAGCCGTAGGGAGAGCTGATCCCATCCAGTACACAGCATATAA